TTATAAGAAAAATGGAGGAGATTCTCAGCATTCCAGCATCAGTGAATTTTGATAAATCCATAGCTAATTATGAGATTCACAGTCATCAACCATATGCATCCTCATCGTTTAACAATAGTGATGAAATTCGCATTATTGTACAAAATCAAGATTTATCTATTTTACCAAGCAATAGTGTATTACATATTTTTGGAAGGTTGACTAATGTTGATAGAACTGATGCCACACAAAATATTCATTTCACCAACAATGCGATAGCCTATTTGTTTGATGAAATTCGTTATGAATTGAATGGTATTGAGATTGACCGTTGCAAGTATGTTGGACATACAACTACTATGAAAAGCTTGGTTTCTTTAACACCACCTCAACTTAACCGCTCTGAAAATGCAGGAGTTTTGAATGTGGAATTGAATACAAGAATGGCATTACAAGATGGATATTGTGATATATCAATACCACTTGGTATGATTTTTGGTTTTGCTGAAGATTATAAAAAAATTGTTATGAATGCTAAACATGAACTGATTTTAATAAGAGCACGTAGTGATTTAAATTCTATTATTCAAATGGGCGAAGGTGCAGATGAAAAGTTCAAAGTGCAAATTAATAAAGTGGAATGGTTAGTGCCATATGTTTTACTATCTGATAATAATAAAATCAAATTATTGAAATTTATCGAAAAAGATCCACTTATTTCAATGAGTTTTCGATCGTGGGAAATGTTTGAATATCCTTTAATTCCATCAAGTACAAGAGTCATGTGGCAAATAAAATCGTCAACACAATTAGAGAAGCCTCGATATGTAATTGTTGGATTCCAAACAGGAAGAAAAGATAAACGTAAAAAGTCTGCTAGTTATTTTGATCACTGCGACATTACAAATGTAAAACTCTTTTTAAATTCATAATCATATCCTTATGGAAATTTAAATTTAAATTTTAATCAAAATCAATATTCTATACTTTATGATATGTATGCTAATTTTCAATCTTCCTACTATGGAAGAGATTCTGAACCCATATTGAAGCTTGATACTTTTAAATCATTGGCTTCTCTAATTGTTATTGATTGTTCAAAACAAAAAGAGTTTCTCAAACAAACGTCAGTTGATGTACGTTTGGAATTTGAAGCTAGAAATAATATACCTGCTGAAACAACTGCTTATTGTCTCATCATACATGATCGCATTGTACAGTATAAACCAATCAGCGGTATAGTTAAAAAACTGTAAAGCAATGGAGGGGGTAAAATGAAAGTAGTGGGGAGGGGGTTGATCTGAGAGGTATATAACTCACGTTCCTGGGATAGAAATTTATTTCTATTCCAAGATGGAGTTCATTGTAGACGTTCAAGGCTTCAAGAAACCCTGTAACGATTTCATCTTCAAAGAGTTGGCTATACTTCCTCTTGAAGCTGATGCTCAACCTCGAGTTTACCTCTTTGAACCTCCATGTGCTTGGAATTCACTACCTGAACGTTATAAAAGTGAAAATCGCTGGCTAACAAACAATTATCATAGAATCCACTGGATGTCTGGAGATGTATCTTACGATGAACTGCGTACTATTATACAAGAAACATTACGAGGTGCAAAAACTATCTACACGAAAGGTGTTGAAAAAAAGCAGTGGTTAGAAAAATATTTGTTAAATGTACAAAATTTAGAAGATTTAGACTGTCCAGCGATTAAAAATATTAAAACTGAATCGTTGTTAACTACATGTACGCATTATATTACACAAACTAACCATTGTGCTGTAAACATTGTTATGATTCTTCGAAATTGGTTTCTAAATGTATCGAATGAATTGAGAAATTTTTCAGATGGCGTTGATGAAGTGGATTGTACTTATACTACTTTAACCCTTTCGTGCCTCCGGTACATATATGTACCACTTACAAAATTTGATGTAACTCTTACAAATTTAACCCAATCAGTAATTCCAATGGATAGTTTTATTGGCAATCGTTATTACTATATGTTAAAAAATAGAAAACAGTATTATACAGTTATAATTATTTTAAACAATAGGTACAACATTGATAAAAAATTAACAAAAGTTATATATCAATAATGTTAAGTCATTCATTTAGGCTTCATCCGTTTTTAACAACACATTGACTTTTAATATTTTCGAGGTCGCTGATTACGAAACTGGAGTCAGATTTTCAAAATGCAAAATGGCGGATCCAATATGGCGGTCGAATATCCAAAATTTTATCTGTTCTCTTCAAATTCGTCACTCGGGGGTTTTTGGGGTCGCTGATTACGAATCTGAAGTCAGATTTTCAAAATTCAAAATGGCGGATCCAATATGGAGGAATAAATTTTAAAATTTCACCGATTTCCCTTAAAACTCATCACTCGGGGGTTATTAAAATTATTATTTTATTAAACTAATTATATTGAAAATATTAATTTTATTTTAATCACCATCTTAAAATTATATTTAATTAATTTCTTTCATATTACAAATTTTTGTATTTTGTTATATGTAAAGCTTACATCGATTTTGAAAATTCGCGCGACTCACATGATAATGAAATTCATCCACCTTGTTAAAATAGGGTTCTTGGCGAAGGTTCACTGTAAAAAAAACCTAACGCGCCTTATTCGGAACCTCTTAGGTGGTGTGGAAGACCGTCACCGCTGCAAACAATTGATTTGAAAGTGAGAAAAATTTAAGAATTTCTAAAAATTTTTTGAACAAACTCGATCCGTCATTTTGAATTTTGAAAATCTGACTGCAGATTCGTAATCAGCGACCCCAAAAACCCCCGAGTGATGAGTTTTAAGGGGAACAGATAAAATTTTGAAAATTAGTCCGCCATATTGGATCCGCCATTTTGAATTTTGAAAATCTGACTTCAGATTCGTAATCAGCGACCCCAAAAACCCCCGAGTGACGAGTTTCAACAAAATCTATAAGCTAGGTTGCCCGGGGGCACGAAAGGGTTAAAATCTTTTTATGAAACTTCTGAATCTCTAATATTATAAATTTAATCTATTTTTGAATAAATAAATATAATAGTATTAAAAAATTAATATCTTTTTATTGTTGTTCAACCAATGCACAGTGGCCGATTTCCCGAAAAACCTGGCCAAAAGTCAAAAAATTTTTTTTAGAAATTTATACTTTTTATTGTTGAATATTATAAAGGAGGGTTCACTGCATAATTTTGCGAAAAAAAATTACACTTTTTTTATCACCAATTTATTATGTGAACAAGTAAAAGTGATCTTTGCCAGAGATTTACTCAGAACGTTTCATAACTATAAATTTTCGTCACAGTTAAAATAGTGAAAATATACTAATATACAGCAGATTTTTGAATATCTTTTTTTGGGAATTATTAACAAAGGTGTATGAAATATGTTGAATGTATTTATAATCACATTTAAAACGTACAGTTTTTAAAAAATGACATTAAACATCGCTATTCATGGCGACGATTTTTGTATTGTTTTATCAACGTAAATCATGAAAATAGTTGTGAAATCCACCGATATCCGCGATCTACCTGGTATTATCATAAACTAGAATATATTTTTAATTCATTTTAATTGAAATCAGTTGCCCCAAGCTGCCCCTGCAGTTTTGGTATCACTTTTTATTTCACTAAGCGCGGTTTACCGACAGCGCGTTGCACCGGCCGGCGGTGCAACTGAACGTGAAAGACTGACTTTTTCTTCATTCGCATTCGCTTTAAACTAAAATTTAAGCACTGTCTGTAATTTAAAAAAAATAAGCTCTAACACATTTACGCAATTTTATAATACCAGCAAATATTTTGGATCCGCCATATTGAATTTGATAAAACAAATGTAAAATTTGATTTCAGAAACCCAGTAAACGTAAGTATACCAATTTTGATTGAAATCGTATCATTTTTCGATTTTCAGCAAAGTTTTTAGAATCTAAACGGCCATTTTGGATCGGCCATTTTGAATTTGACACAACCAATGTAAAATTTAAATTCAGAAGCCCAAAAAACATGGGTATACCAATTTTGATTGAAATCGTATCATTTTTCGATTTTCAGCAAAGTTTTTTAAAATCTAAACGGCCATTTTGGATCCGCCATTTTGAATTTGACACAACCAATGTAAAATTTGAATTCAGAAGCCCAAAAAACATGGGTATACCAATTTGGTTAAAATCGTATCATTTTTCGATTTTCAGCAAAGTTTTTTAAAATCTAAACGGCCATTTTGAATCCGCCATTTTGAATTTGACACAACCAATGTAAAATTTGAATTCAGAAGCCCAAAAAACATGGATATACCAATTTTAATTGAAATCGTATCATTTTTCGATTTTCAGCAAAGTTTTTTAAAATCTAAACGGCCATTTTGGATCCGACATTTTGAATTTGACACAACCAATGTAAAATTTGAATTCAGAAACCCAAAAAACATGGATATACCAATTTTGATTGAAATCGTATCATTTTTCGATTTTCAGCAAAGTTTTTTAAAATCTAAACGGCCATTTTGGATCGGCCATTTTGAATTTGACACAACCAATGTAAAATTTGAATTCAGATGCCCAAAAAACATGGGTATACCAATTTTGGTTGAAATCATATCATTTTTCGATTTTTGGCCAGGTTTTTCGAGAAATCGGCCACTGTGCAATGCCCTTAGTATTAAGACTAATAATGAAGGTAAAATAAGAAAAGAAACAATTTTTTTAAGTAAAAATTTATAAATTTTTTTTCTCTCACATTTTTAAATATATTTACATTTTTTTCTATTACAATTTTTTTATATATTTTTTTATAATATTTAATATTATTTATATTCAAATTGAATTTCATTAAATTTTCCACCGAGATATTTTAATTGCAATGTTTGAGACTGCGCGGCTTCTTCCATCATCGTATAGGAAGTAGGTTCAGCTTCAAACAGCCGAGCAAACCTTGCTGGCAGGAATGTTGTGAAAGCAGCATCCAATTCTGCTACAATCCTGACTCCGAATTTGGTCTGCACTCGCTTTATTTTAGTCACTGCATACAACCCATTTGGAGTCAATTCAGCTAGCGGTTTGGTAGGTAGGAAGCTTTCCATACGGCCAACAGCGTTAAGTTTTTGTAAATCCATAGTTTTTTTTATATCTGTAAGCAAAAAATAAAATTAAAAATAGTAAAATTGAATAAAAAAAGGATTTGAAAAAAAGGATATAATACATACCGAAAAAATGTCTCTACTGCTGCTAGTGCTGATGCTGCTAGTGCTGATGCTGCTAGTGCTGATGCTGCTAGTGCTGATGCTGCTAGTGCTGATGCTGCTAGTGCTGATGCTGCTAGTGCTGATGCTGCTAGTGCTGATGCTGCTAGTGCTGATGCTGCTAGTGCTGATGCTGCTAGTGCTGATGCTGCTAGTGCTGATGCTGCTAGTGCTGATGCTGCTAGTGCTGATGCTGCTAGTGCTGATGCTGCTAGTGCTGATGCTGCTAGTGCTGATGCTGCTAGTGCTGATGCTGCTAGTGCTGATGCTGCTAGTGCTGATGCTGCTAGTGCTGATGCTGCTAGTGCTGATGCTGCTAGTGCTGATGCTGCTAGTGCTGATGCTGCTAGTGCTGATGCTGCTAGTGCTGATGCTGCTAGTGCTGATGCTGCTAGTGCTGATGCTGCTAGTGCTGATGCTGCTGCTGCTGATGTTGGAAATCTAGGACAGAAATGATCTCTCTGGAACTGGAACCCGCATTTTAACTCTGCAACCCCACTCTTCCTCAACTCCCGCTCTATATTACCCCCACTTGAAAACTGCGCAGGCAACTCCCCTTTAATGTAAACTCTGTACCCCCACTCTATTAAAATAATGCGCACGCAAAGTTGTTGAAAAGAGAGGGAGAGTGCGCGCACAACTCACCATATACTCTGTATCCCCTCTTTATTATAATAATGCGCACGCAAAGTTGTTGAAAAGAGAGGGAGAGTGCGCGCGCAACTCACCGTACCCCACTCTGGTTGTCAAGAGGGGGGGGTCAAGAGGGTGGAAAGTGGGAGGGATTCCCTAAAACAGCATATGCAAATGATATGCAAATGAGTGGGTGGTAAGGGGGTGGCCAAGAGGGTTAAAAATTCAAAGCATATGCAAATGATATGCAAATGAGTGGGTGGTAAGGGGGTGGCCAAGAGGGTTAAAAAATTCAAAGCATATGCAAATGAGTGGGTGGTAAGGGGGTGGCAAAGAGGGTTGAAAAATTCTCGCGAGCTACAGCGTCATCTCGCGACAACGGTCGGTAACACCGATCTATGGTAAAGTAGAGTTACCATTGGTCGGTAAGGTAGGAATCGAAGAGGACTGAGCTAGAACTGACATAGCTCTACTACTAAAGATTTTTGATTAGGTATTACATATAGTTGAAAATCAGAAATTGAAACTTTTAATATTTCAAAAAATTTCTTTATTAATTTAAAATTTTGCTTTTTAATTCAAACTAAATTTAAGGTTCTTAAAGTATAAAAATTCATGGAAAATTCAACGTTCTCAAAATTTAGAAAGAACCCCGTTTTTAATTTTCATTGCAAATACTTGCCTGCAAAGACAGTTTCAAAATTATAAAAAATGCTATCATAATTATGATTTTTATTATTACAAAATAAACTGATTAATATTTACCTGATGTTCAATTTCCATTAATAATTGATCGTCACTATCATCAAGGTTTATGTCAGACGACATATTAATTAAATTCGATTATTATTTATTGTAATCTATTTGATTTAAAAGAACCGTTGGATGCAGACAAAAACTTTATTCGTGTAATTATTAGTCAATATGATATTTGCTTTTAATTTAATGTTCATACAAACAAATCGTGAAAAGTTTCCATAGAAACGATTCTTCGCTATCGAAGGCCCTTGAATGATCTAACCATTGGGTACGCAAGAAACAAGTGGTGTCGCTTCTACAATTCCGATCCTCAATTGTTAAGGGGGCAAACGCACCGAGAAATTTCAAAATTTTCGATTTTTTTTTTTTTACTATTCTTCAAGCTTAACATCTTAAGAATGTGTGGTGAAAGCCGCATGCGAAAATTCGAATAAATAACAAAGTTAGAGCCGATCTAGTAAAAGCGCGCGGAATGCGTCGTACAGCAGTCTAGACAGCGCCGAGCGGCCGAACGAAATTCAGGTAGTAATACGCCGTCGGCCCCTATTGTAACACCAATAAACCACTTTTATTGTGTTTACTAAAAGGCGCTGACATCTATATTTCATTTCGGTAACGAATTTTCAATCTGTCAGCTGTAGTAAGTTGAAGAATTTTGTGATTTATTCATTACTCAACTTTCAAACGCGTTTTTCTCGAAATCATGTTTTCGAAGTCGGTACGCAAGATTTCTCGAAAACTAATTAACCGATTGCAAAGATTTTTTTTGTGCTTATTCTACACATAATTATCTAGTCTTTAACGTACGGATTTTTTTTTTAGTGGCTTATTTTTTTTTTAATCGACGAAATAAGGTCGTTTTTTTCCTTAAAAATCGATTTTTTTATAAAAATGTCCGCCATTTTGTCAAAAATCGATATTTTCAAAATCCCGTACGTAAAAGACTAGATAATGCTCTCCAGATTAATAATCTTTTTGGTTTTTTTGATTTGGATGATTACAGATGAAGCAGGGCTGCGTACCGCAAAGCGATAGTTTTTTGCAGTACTTGACAAGCATGAGGATATCTCAGAGAATTTTTAATTTTTTTCATAAAAAATTTCATGATATATTCTTCAAAATGTATTTTATCATGTAAAAAAAAGATTGCTTTGATTGAATTAAAAGGTTGCCTTAAAAAAAATTTAAAAAAATGGCTTTTTTTCGCGTTTCTCGGTGCGTTTTCCCCCTTAATTAATTTTCAGTCACATCATTTTTTTTTCTCGCTAAAAGTTTTTCTTGATCAAAAAGGTTAGAAAAAATGTCCTCCGAGGAAACAGAACAATTTTTTTTATTCGATTCCTATTCAAAGGATGGATATTTTTATATTGTCAGTAAGGAAATTATATTGGTTACATAGAAAACAGAAATAAAAATCGGTGCGGTTCTTCAGTTTAAGTTTCCTGAAAAAGCTGAACGACCAAAAATTAGGAAGAGAATTATAGTTATGGAGTCAGGTTAGTATATTTAATATTACAAATTTAACCCAGTAGAGAAAAAACATTTTCTTTTCTAGAATATTTACAATACACATTAACTTAGTTTATTTAATTTTTATTTATGAAATTATTGTTCTCAAAGAAGGTTTTGAATATACAAAATTCTTAAATTATTGTAGATTGCGAGGAAACACTTCAGAGGGAAATGCGGAGAAGGATAAAAGAGTTGGAAAGGAAAAAAATTACGATTAACGATAAGAAGAAAATGTAAAATTTGGCAAATGGAGAGAAGAGGTTAAAAACTATTGAAATGAGAAGACAGGCGAATATTGCGATGGCGATTGAGTTGGAACAAAATATGAAGAAAAAGAACAGAAAAGCGGACCTGCTTGCAAGATTAGAAAATACATTGAATATGAGGCATTTCATATGAGAATACGGGGTCATGTCTCAGATTCATGTCTTAGGTCTCCCTGAATTTTTGTCATTTGTGACATCATATAAAGATGAAGCTTCTTTATTGCCGTGTTTTGGTGATGAAGTTGCAATAGGTTGATGTGGATTAGACCAATCATATGAAAAATCCAAATCATTTTCGCCAGGAGGTTTGGAGATCAAGGAGAAAGGTTGTTGAGAAGTTAAGTTCAGAACAGTGTCGCTAGAACCATTTGATGCCAAAGTTCCACCAGACGGATGTATTGAAAATGCATTTTCTTTTTCAGTATCAATATGATTATTATTGGTCAAGATCACTGAGACAGATTGTGTGGAATGCAGTGACATCAGAACAGTTTCACTGGCAGAATTCGACTCCATATTTCAGACGGTTGTAATGCAGACAAAATTTCTTCTTCCTCTTCTTCTTCAATACCCTGAGTTGAGGTTGAAAAAGGCAATTCCTCATTTTCGAGCGATTCATATTCACTGATCAATTCTTGTACATCCTTAATAAGACAAAATATTTAAATTAAAAAAGTAGAAATTAGTGTGGATATATTCACAGAAAATTAAAAGGCATTAAAATAAGCTGCAACGCTTATTATTTTAATCCAATTTTGCTTATTTTAATCCATTTTGGTATTAAAATAAGCAAAATTGGATTAAAATAATAAGCGTTGCAGCTTATTTTAATACCTTATAATTTTCTGTGTTTAGATATTTGTTTAAAAAATGATAAAATTTAAGATCACTAATGATTTAAAATAACATACAATATTATTAAATATAAAGAAATAAACATAAGTAATATAAATATATAAATAAATTAAATATAAATCATAAAGGAGAAACATATTTTAATTGTTTTTAGTAATAAAATTAAAGGGTTATGAAACAAAGATATTTATAATTTCTTACAATTTTTTAAAAATAGAAATTCAAGTTTGTAAATTAATAATTTTAAAAATTTGTTAAATTCATTGTTTAGGATGTTGGAAGAAGCGTATTGAAAATTGCCAATGAAAAATAATACACATTATGAGAGAAGTTTGAATTTTAATTTTTTGAGAATTCCTAGTTTTATTGCAAAAATTAACTAATTGTTTTTTTAATTTTTTATAATGCATGTAGATATTTAAATATTGTCAGTTTAAATATTATTAAGAAATTGTAAATTAAATTATTAAATAAATAAATTATTAAGTTAACAAAATATTTTTTAACAAGCAGAATTTTATAATGAAATCCTACTTTTTAAGAAACGGACTTGGTTCATATATATAGGGCTCGTTGGATGCGGATTTTGATAAGCATTCTAATGGTGTTTTTAAAAGTACTCTAATTTTATTTGTTCGTAAAATCTTTCATTTTTTATTCACTTTTATTAGTTAATTAATTAATATCTCGAAAACAAAAAATAATGCCATCTCAAAAATTTAACCATCAATTTATTACGACTTAAATAATATTCATGATTTTTTTCGCGCTTCTAAATGAGGGAGAACATGTTTAAAAGTTATAAACAAATTTTATTTTTTAAACAAATTGTTTAAAAACTAATATTTTTTTTTAAAAAATAATTTTTTTCTAAAAGTTTAAGATCTTCCTCGTAAAAAACATTTACAACATTTTTCTATTATTTAAGTCGTAATAAATTGATGGTTAAATTTTTGAGATGGCATTATTTTTTGTTTTCGAGATATTAATTAATTAACTAATAAAAGTGAATAAAAAATGAAATATTTTACGAACAAATAAAATTAGAGTACTTTTAAAAACACCATTAGAATGCTTATCAAAATCCGCATCCAACGAGCCCTATATATATGAACCAAGTCCGTTTCTTAAAAAGTAGGATTTCATTATAAAATTCTGCTTGTTAAAAAATATTTTGTTAACTTAATAATTTATTTATTTAATAATTTAATTTACAATTTCTTAATAATATTTAAACTGACAATATTTAAATATCTACATGCATTATAAAAAATTAAAAAAACAATTAGTTAATTTTTGCAATAAAACTAGGAATTCTCAAAAAATTAAAATTCAAACTCCTCTCATAATGTGTATTATTTTTCATTGGCAATTTTCAATACGCTTCTTCCAACATCCTAAACAATGAATTTAACAAATTTTTAAAATTATTAATTTACAAACTTGAATTTCTATTTTTAAAAAATTGTAAGAAATTATAAACATATATGAAGGGTAGAATGACAAAAGGGGTCAAGCGCCAATTTATCGAAAATGAGGTTTTTGCATAAAAAAATCAAGAAAATTCATTTACACATTTCTGTAGAAGGATTTCCTTTTTTATTGCGTATTTAAATCAGTTTTTAATAAAAATTAAATTAATAAAATAGCCTCAAATTTACTTTATTGCAACCTGATTGAAAAACAAAAGAAAGTGATGAGTCAATAATATTATCAAAATAAAAAAAAAATATTATTTTTTTAGGTTTTATTTTAATATTTTATTTTAATTTTATTTTAATAATATTTTAATTAATAAAATTAATAATAATAATAATGTATTTTCAATTTTAAACAATTTTAAAATCATTTTGTTATTAATTTTTAAATATTTTTATGGTTATACTAAGTGAACAATTGAATTTAAAGATGAAAGTATTGCTCAATTCCAAAGCAAGCAATTAATTCGTAATTTTCTTGAAAACAAACAATTTTTTAAAGGAATTTTTTTTTCTATTCATTTCGTCGATTCCATAGAAAGAAACTAATTTTCCAGTTTTTCTTTAAACTGTATATTTTTTTATAATTAATGCTTAAAGAAAATGTGCGCAGTTGATATAACCTCAAGGAACCACAGTTTTTTTTAATTTTATCGTTAATATGTAGGTTTATTTCAACAAATTGTTGTTTATTTATTAAAACATACTAATATATCGAAACGGTTTTCTCAGTTTTTTTTTAAATGACCTGTAAAATTTTTAAAAATGTTTTTTTTACTTCCTGTAAAAACCGTGAATTGGCGCTTGACCCCTTTTGTCATTCTACCCTTCATATATCTTTGTTTCATAACCCTTTAATTTTATTACTAAAAACAATTAAAATATGTTTCTCCTTTATGATTTATATTTAATTTATTTATATATTTATATTACTTATGTTTATTTCTTTATATTTAAT